GCTCGGCACGCACTGTTATCTGGTAACTATCCACGTGCAGCGTCATTTGTGACTTGCTCCGAAGGTTTAAAAAGATTATAAAAATGTCTTCACGGTCAGAATCTTTTCAGAACCAAGAGCGATCGATTTATTGACAACCTTTGCGGAACCAAGCAATTCAAACACCATGTCTTTGAGCGAGTGCTAGTGATTGTCGATGTTGAACAGCTGCCTTTGTACGACAATAAAAGTGAGGTAACGGTGTGGATGTTAGGTGTATGTTGCCGAAAAACACAAATTTGCTGCGTCATCCATGTCTTCTCGGCGTATGTCGACAAACTATCATCACGCTTTTGCGTTCATTTGTATGTGGCATTCAGATTTGTATTGCTTTAATGTCAAGTTTATCGCGAGCGGCTCCCAATTTAGTAGCAAGTTAGTGTAAAAAGACTGATCCTACGTTTGCCCTGTTCAGTACCTGGCACCATTTTAATGCCGTGTGTTAAGTTTCATGAAAGTCTCACTTTTCGCGAGGTTTTCATCTGATGTTAACAAGGTCGTATCGTAAGTTCAATGATATTTTTTTATTTTTTGCAGGTCCTTTGAAAGTATAAGGATGCGCACACAAAAAAAAGTATTTATGTGCCCTTAGACTATGCATGTTTCTTGTACCGTATACTTTATTTTATTTTTTTATTTATTTCATAATACTGTCAGCCTTCAATCTATCAATTCCACCCCCCGCCCAACCCCAACCTCTCGATAGAGGACAGGGAGGCGGCCCTGCTCGGCTGTCAGGAAGTGAAGGCACAAGAGGACCTGCTTAGATGGACGCGGGTGGCGTTGCTTGCCAATGAAGCTTTACAGTATGGCTTCCACCTATCTCTGTGAGGGGAGGGGCTCAATAAGGCCTCAACTCAATTACCTCTCCGTAACCATTTAATGGTTAATAAATATTTGACCATTAGTGTCGCACCTTGCTCAGTAGGAGGCTAATACCCGTGCCACACGGGCATAGAAAATGACATTTGGTGGCGAAGGCCTTCAGTTCCCGAATGCATTTGTTTCACCGGCGCTGCTACACGTCCAAAGCGAATGACATTTGACTTGATGATGTCGATCATAGCACATTCCAAGTGAGCATTGAGTGAATAGCAACAAAAAAAATTAAGAAGCATTTACAAGCTTCATACACAACAGATAATCATTAAATGTAGAAATGAGCGTATTACGCTGTCCTAAGTTTTAGTTTCTTGCTTTGTTTTACAACGTTGCAGCCGACCGTAGCAACCTAAGTCAACACTAGTCAGATCCACAGCGTAAATAGAAAATGGCGCCGGTCGAATCGCACCTGTAGCATCTCTCAGAACAAGATGTTCGCAGAGTTCGTTTTTTTCACGGCAGCACTTGTGTGTTTCCGTGCAAAGCATCGTGCTCAAGAGCGAATAATTTTGGAGCAGAGACGAGTTATTATGCGCCAGCTTCAGGACATTGAACTTCAATTCTTATCAAACCATTTCAACCTGAGTCACGGAGAAAGTGAACTCGATGGCGATGGCGATGAAAATACCAGTGTTGCATGCTTGTTTGCCAAAGTTTCGCTAAACTTGACAAGCGTTTCATTATCAACACTTTATTTTCTTCGTACAACGTTCAAAGCACCTTTTTAAGACTTTAGTGCAAATAAAAGACGGGAAATTTCATTTTTAGCTCAATATGATTTGTCTTATATACTTTCAGGTAAATCGCACTTCGCGAGCTGTGTCGTCGAGAGTAGGCATTTCTCAGTCAACTGAGTTCTGGCGAAGGCATTTGGAGGCGAATGGCATTCGAATGGCATTTGAATGGCATTCGGATGAATGCAATTTTGTTCGCCCGTGTGGCACCGCGCGAATGGCAATAAATCTGAAGGACATTCGGGAGTAAATGCCATTTTTTCTGCCCGTGTGGCACGGGTATAAAACAATAACGCACACACTTTCCGTTTTTATCTTGTGATACTTCTATGAACCTTCATGATTAAATTCAAGCAACATATTGCAGAAATTAGCCACATTCTCTCGAATAATTTTCGCAGTTTCACGTACTACTTCGATGTACGCAGAACCACTCTTTGTTTTGTTCATCATCTCCAACATGTCGTGGGAACGCGCCCGTGGTATGAAGGATAAGCGGCGTTCAGTCTCAAATTTCACCTTTTCGCGGAGTGCTTAGCGTTGCACATCTTGGCTAACAAGATCGTGAGCGCCCACAGCACATATTTATCTTGCGTGCTCGAAATGCTTCATCATAGTGAGGGGCACCTTAAGGTGTTCACCACCATAGAAGATGATGAGCGTATGCGAATATACCCGGTTATTACGAGACTAAAACACACCTGCTAAGACTCACACCTGATCACTTAGCGTGTTCATTGATTTCAATGTTGATTAGGTTGTTTTTACAGCTTTCTTGGTCGCCCTCATGTCACGCAATAGACACTAGAATTGATCATGTCTTTAGTTATGACGATATTTGTCCCTGATAGCCGCGTCAAATTTTGCGAAACTGACGAAAATTTTACATCTGCCTTGGTTCTTTTTCAACTCCTTTTCATAGCGGCAGCTATTTGTCACTCGTGGCTCGGACGCATGCAAGGGCATAATATTTTACGTGGTAAAAGTATCATATCATTAGGAGGCACGCCATGGATTGAAACTCCCGATTTATTCGGCCACTTGAGGTTTCCTTTCTTTTTACCGTGCACCTAAATCTATAGGAAGTGCATAAGGCACGACCACAACAGGCAGAGGGTGCACACAGTGAGCGTCACATCTATTTACCTTGAGCGTTATACCACCGTACGCTTGAAATATGCAACACCATCGCGTCCTATCCACCATTCTTGCATTGAAATCAGAGCTCACTGTTACTGCGTTTCGCTTCTGTGGAAATGCAGCTGGTATGTGCGGGAATCGAACTCATGACTTCGATCCTAGCATCACAATACCTCGTCATTCTTACTTATCGATGTGTGTTGCTTGCAAGGCCTGTAGGTATAAACGCTCAGCGTGAACCCGCAAGACAAATTGGTTGACACTGAGGGGCGACGAAAAGTCTACAGCCATCAGTTGAATAAAACACTTGCAGGGCTCACAGTACAGTATTTTAGGTTCATTAGGCTAGCAAAGTCCATCGCTTTCACTCTATCAATGGTTTTCTCGGAAAGCCAGAGCTTAATTGCGAAATGTACAGCGCTTGTCTATTTACTGTAGTTTCGGTTCACAAACACGCTTTTTTCTTATTACGAGTCCGGCGATAGCATTTGTTTCAAATAATTATTAATGTGTAGTACTGTGCACGTCGAAAAAATTTTCAGAGTAAGGAGACTGCGGAGTATTATCGAACTGCCATAATCCACTCTTGACGCTTTTGCTTGTCGCACTGTTGCACTTCAAACGGTAGAACTTTACGGGCAGTTTTCAGGTATACGTCATGTTTAAACTTTGGAGCAGCTCACAATGCAGCAGTAGTGCGTGCCTGCTTTCCATAATGACGAAGGTGCGCTGCCCAGAGCGTGCGAAATGCAAGATAAGTGCTCTAAGGAATACGTTTTCCATGCGCGCAATGGGAAAAACCAGCCAGCGCAGCCCGTCCGAGTGGCCAGAGCTTTGCTCTCTTTCCGCTAGGGCAGTGAACGGTGCTGCGCAAAGCTGAGCATGTATGCGCTCCTTGTAATGAACTGGGAGCCAAGGAGAATTTGAAAAAAGTGAGACAAGCGCATGCAGGTGATATTTCTGTCTACACCAGCCAGTGCAACGTCCACTTGCTTTTAAAAAACCAAGATTTGCTTGGCCTGAAGTTTTCAATAGGGGATGACCTTTCAAAATCGTACATATCGAAAGTAATCAAGTTGAAGCTTATTTTTGTGTGAAATCATTCATTAAAATACACACAAAACATGTTTAAAAGTTTATCAACCGTGCAATATTATTTAATATTGCTAAAACAATTAATGTTATTAACTTCTCTTTCTACGCAACCTTGCTAGATGAGGCGATTGTTTTAGGAAAACCGAAAATGAAGGTTGGTCAGCAATAGTAATGCAATGAAAGAAAGCTTCGCTGGAGTTTGTCGCAGCGGGAACTAGAACATGGCGAGAAAAGTAAAATACAACGTGTAGAGGCAAAACCGATATACACAATGGTATGGTGTTCTTGAGCTGGCCTTTGTTCTGACGTGATTGAATGTAATTTGTTCGACACACAGACAGTGCAGCAAAAAAAGGCTTTACAGAGTTACAGAGACCCTTCTTTGTATTTGTACATTCGACCGGCATGCATGTACATAATTTAGATTTATCAAAGTGCAGATGTATTTATCTGTTTAGTACATTACCCAAAAAATGCATGGCTACAAATTTGTATACATGCCATCTATTGGTATGTATGCTTGCCAACCATAGCGGCAATGAAATATACATTGTAGGCAAAATTGTTGGTGAAATGAGAGATTTTACGCTTAAAGTATTGGAGAAAGTGGATGATGCTTGTTGACTAATAAATTGGGCAACAAATCTAATCTTTTTTATGGTTAATCCCAAATATGTGGAACTACTCAAGCTTTCACTCAAGCGTCACTTGCTGATCATGGAATTGAGGACACCCCTACAACGCTCAAAGCAGGTCCGATAATTCGGTTATTCTGAAGTAATTATACTGCTACGTGCTAGTGGCATGAAGAGGAAGAGGACAAAGATGATATACTGGCGCGAGCTAATCTGTGTGGCAGGCTCTGCTCGCTGATCCAGCTGTAAATATATCTGTCTTGACTCTTGTGAGCCGGTCTCCTTCCCATAACAATGTAATCTTTTCGATTGTCTTTTTTATACCATCTTTTTTAATGAAGCATTCTGCTAATTTGATTTGTGTCGTAGCTTCTATGCTCTATTTTTGTTGTCCAAAAACATTTTATAGCGCTTTTTTTTCAAGTGTTGGTTTGTTCTAGCAAGCTGATTCCAAATACGAGGCTTCCTTCCTTACCCTGTGGGTAGCCAGCCATCCGGCAAAAGACCTGACTCAGGGTGATCCCAATAGCCAGCGAACACCGTGGGTCCACGCACTTGTAGTTCATTGTCACACAAGCGGCACTCTGTGTGCGGCAAAGGCTGGTAGCCGGCCTCTGTATGAAGGCCTATGGCCATGGGTCCAGCTGTCTCCGTCAATCCATACGCCATCTGTAGCACGGGGCAGGCGGTTTTATCATTGCCATACACCAGAAACAGCAACACTGGCTTGCCCCCCTTCCGGTTAGCAGCTCAGATACATACAATAAAACAGCATACAGAAAAAAGATGCACCGTACACAGCATGAAAGAGAGAGAAAGTGCGTTCTATACCAACAGGTGTGACCACCACCATAAACTGGGTCGTGTGCTAACAACCAACTGTATGCCAGGATAACCGCTGCGCAAGCAAATCGTCAAGAACCTTAGGAGACAGTCGAAGAGGTTAACAGTAAAATACGGCGGATTCCAATCTTTCTGTGCGCCACCGTTTCTTTCCAAACTCTGCCTTCTTTGGCATAGCATATTCTGGCTGACACATAGATCTCTAGACCCATATTTCTCAAAGCGCAATGTTTGTCTAAATATTCCTAATGGTAGCTACTCTAATTTTTCCAAACGGGAGACACGTCTTTTCAGTTGGCCCTCACTGTAAAGTCTACCCAAGATTTCAGTTCTTCATCGCTGGTGTAGTTAAAACGTACAGCGGCAATTTATATCGTGCAAGAACTGACAAAACATATGCGTACTGTAACATTTATGATTCGAAGAAATAACATCAAAACATTTTTTTCTGACAAAGAAAAGCCCAAGCAAGACAAACTGCTCCAAACAGAAAAGAAACACTGTCGCATTTGCCACAACATACCTACTTGAAAAAAAGCGAAAAAACTGACTAAAGAGCAGGCTTAAAATACGCAAGAACCTTCTTGTCTCTTCTTTTCACTTTTTCTTTGACTCTAAAGAAAATGAGTACAACAAAAATTTTTCAGCACCTGTCTTTGCAGAGCAATGATTGTTGCTTGATTTGCGAATGAAATTTGCGTACGTATACTCGGGTATTTTAGTAACATATATGCTCCCATCCACACCACTTCATGTGTTATGCAGGCGCCACCACAGAACTAAAACTTCTTCTCTCAGTTGCGAGCTGAATTATTCTTTTAAGGAAATAGCGTAAGCCCTATTTTCATCCGCCAAGCACTTTAGGCGAACTTTTTGTACATTTTCTTCATAGCCATAGAAGTTACAGTAATTATTTTACTATCATCGTGATCTTAAGCCATTCCTCTTCTTGCTGAAGCAGAATTATCCCCTCCAATTTGTAATGCTAAATTTGTTGTAATTTTTTCTTGAGGTACTTAACTATAGCCTGTTAATTAGTATTAGATGTCATGTTGAAGAACGTACTTGCGCACACGGACATAATTCTGCTTCGGTATATTCTCTAGCACATTCTTTAAATACTGGCTGAAGTCTATGTTTATAGATACAGTGCTTGCTGGGAAAAAGGTACATAGGTACAAAAAACATAATTTGAAATAATCGCGTGTAAAATGGAAAATATGCTTTATTTCAAAAGTACCACAAAATAACCAACAATTGAAGGACAATTTGGGAGAGAAGCTTTTTAAGGCGTCGGCTGAGCGTCTTGTCGTAATTGTATGTAGCCACCTCTCGTTAGTTCTTGAACCGGCTGTAGACGGTGGTACTTGTACATATAACAAAATGCATGTACGCTGAAAAATGCAAGTGGTGCGATACTAGAGGACGGGACTTGTAGTAGGATAATTAATAAAAATCACAGCATATCCATTAAGTCAATGATGATGAGCGGGGCAAAGCATCCATCATTTCGTCCGTGCTTACGGTCGTCTATTCGTTCTTGATTCCGTCCATTCGTGCGTCCGCCTGTCTATCCGTGCGTCCGCCTGTCCATCCGTGCGTCTGTCCATTCGTACATTCGTCCGTGTGTTCATCCATTCATCCGTGCGTGCGTGCGCGCGCGCGGGCAGAAGGTCGGAGGGTGGACAAGGCTGCAGAGTGGAGTGCGCTTAAGGCAGCGGATGCTAGCGCTCGACGACGGAAGCCCGATGTGCGAGCGCGCGAGGTATAGGCGTGCCGTGAAGCTGTGTGGTTGTGCCAACAAGATCCCGGCGTACGAGAGCGGGAGGCCGAAGCGGAACGGCAGCGGCATGTGGACCCAGCTTCGCTCCACTCTCCATCAATCACCCCGTGGATATGCTGTCACTTTTAAAGACGATAGTCTTCTTTGGGGACCTTCAACGCAAAAATTTCGGTCTGTCTGTTTGTCTCTCTGTCTGTCTGTCTTTCTGTACATAGGTCTGTCTGTCTGTCCGTCTGTCTGTCTGTCTGTACATAGGTATGTTTGTCCACTCTTTACGGCACCGCGTACTGACGTCGTGCTCCACTCCAGAATCGTCCATTTCAAAGAAGCCGTCGAACAAATCACCTGTTTGTGAATTGTATACCCCCTCATGTAACCCCCGTCGAATGGGGCCTTTGAGGTATTATAAAGAAATAAAGAAACGGCCGACCCCATCCGCTGTGCCCACCAGTGTTGCTCAAGGTTTAGCGTTTATACTTGCGCAATTGTCTATAAAACAATTATTGGGCATGTGTTGGACACCATAAGAACACGCATATATTCTGCATGTGCGCTTTCTTCTAAAAACGCATACATAAGTAATTTTAAGGACTGTAACGCTTATCACACTGCGCTAAACATGCGACGCTTGCACGGAACGGGGAGTGTTTCCAACGCTTTGTTAAGACGAGATGGTGGTGGCACCTACCCGTCGTCTTGTGTTCTACAACTTATCACTTCTGAGACGGGCACGCACACCCGGCTCAGAGCCACATGCTTCGTTTTCTAAAAAAACTGCCAGATCGCGTGCGTGTCTCACGTGTGACGTGCTTGACGCGCTCGTTCACCTCCACTGCACGCTCGAGGCACTCTATTTGCCACAGTCTTCAGATAGGCAATACCCGCGCCCTGCGTGGCCGGTGACTTCCCGCACGCCGGATGAGTAAATAGATGTTGTTTCCCTCTCTCTCAAACGCAGCGCCTCCAAAATACCGTTAACCAATTTTTTTGCGCAGAGCATGAAATAAAAGTTTTGTTCACTCTCTTCACACGCAAGACTATCGTCTTCCGAAGATACCTGCAAATTAACATGTAGATATGGGGACAATTTCTTGTTAGGCACCAGTCATATACTCATCAACAGTATCAACTTTCTTAGTTGAGGTGCCTGGCCTGGTGGGCTTTTTTTGTCACCTGCTTCGCAACCCTGTCAGTGAAGTACTGTCGACGCAGGTCAAAAGTGCGTAGGCCCTGCACTTTGTAGTGAGCTTGCGCAATATCAAACGAGCTCAGCACACTCACACGAGCTATATTGTCATAATCAGAAGTGATTACAGCGTCCACGCTGCCTATTTTCCGTGTTAGGTGTTAAACAATCTCGTTTTCTGGAGTTCGCTCCAACACGGCATTGTTGAACGACTCACAGAAATTTAGTTTTTCAATGGAGGCATTTGGCAAGTAATTCGTGATTAGCAAGTTCATCATAAATTGGCCTAACAGCCTCTAGAACAGATGCTGGAAGATGTTCTTTGTGAACGTGTGGTTCACCACTGAACTGGACTTTGTTGAGTTAGCACCAGGTATCAGCGTTCTTAGGGCAAAGGTAATATCTATAGAATGGATTGGTATCCGTTGATGCCATGCGGAAATATGCGACCCAGACAGCCTTTCGCATGTACTTAAGCTGCCTACATTTCTTGTAATGGCTAAAACATGATACGTTTGAAACTCTGCGAACAACGAACGAAACCCGCGCAATCAACATGTGCAAAGAACTCCCCCAAAGCACTTTTTCCTGCGGTTAAACATCGACTCGGCAGATGGAGCACTTAGTACCAGACCAAATACTATTCGCACTAAACTTGTCAAAAAAATTATTGCTCATCAATTCGGCGCGTTTTTAGATGCCCACGTGTGCCCTCAGGTGAAGCGTAACTAAGGGCAGTGAAGCAGGCCGCCGCATAAATTTTGAATTGTGCGATTGGAATACAAGAAAAATTTGCTCTAGAACATACAAATGACTGATTCTGGTTCGTGAAAGGCTGCAAACGTAAAATTCCGGAAAAGAGAACTAACCATTTCCTCTGATATTTTTGCTTACCCTATCCCCTCAAGCTGGTTGATGCGCATTCAGGTGATCAATATTATGTGTGTGATAAGGTTGAAGCGGTCGTAGAAGGTCTCAAGGGTGGAGCATTCAGCTGCCACGACTACTTTTCATATTCGAGATAGTAAAATTATCTACGGTGCTATTAGTGCTAATTTGGCATTTTGTGAAGGGTTTTCGCATTCTTGAGAAGGTGAACAAGAGTGATGAGCACAAAATGGTCAGAGGGGCTACTATCAACGAGAAAGGCACGTCAAGCAGCCTGCAAGGCACGCTGCGCAGAAGAGGCTGTGAGATAGGCTCACACCATTGGCCGTGCCTAATACTGTACTCTTCGTGTCCTCCAGAGTTAACAACAAGGTGAGTGATCAAGACTGTTCTATAAATAGAAGTATAGAAGAGCAAGTTACAATGATATTACATCAGGATGAAGAGACAGAAAATTTCGCATGCTACAACGGAGAAGACACAGGCTCCTTGCTTATATGAGCCAAAGGTTCCCAGGAGCACTGAGATCACAGAAGATTGTGTTTAGTTGAATGAAAGAAAGAAGCCATATTTAACTGGTAGAAGAAGTTTCTAGCCTCTCGGGAGGTACCAGGTGAAAATGAAGCCAGGCAGTGGTCATTGAAACAGTGTAGTGCCATGCCCCACTGGTTTTAAACCTGTGAGGGTGACCTTTTTACGGGATGCGGGGCACTAGTGTCCCGTTGGGGTCGTCAGGATGCCCCCGATTGCATGTTGGGCAGTGCTCGACTTAGCAACACCTTGTCTCGGCGCGCCTTCCCAAGTGGCGCCCAGGGCTCTTGTAAACCCTTGCCCAACTCTAGTAACGCCACTGGCTTGGACAAATGAGGATGCTGAAGGATTGCTTTCGGAATACAACCAAAATGGAGTTGGCTGTGAATATAAGTGCTCTTACTCGGAATCAGTATAACAAGAAAGTGAAATGTGTCT